CTAGTGTTTATTGTGATAAATACACTCTTAATCCCCTTCACCTATTTCACCCATCCCCCACTGACCTTCCCTCTGGTAAACATCCATTTGTCACAACCTATAAGACCTATAAGACCCTCCCCAATGTTTACCCCCCCTACTCCTCACTTCCTCTCTGATTTCACTTCCTTCAACTCTCCCTTTTGCTCATTCAGCTCTGAGCACACAGATAGTATTTGCAGTGTCTCCAAGGTCTTCACATTTGCTGTTCCCTGTGCGTGCATTGTTCTTCCCTTCAGATATCTCTCTAGCTCACTAAACTTCAAGACTTCTCCAATACTACCTTCTGACTAAGCTCTTCTCTGACCATGCCATCTAAAATTGAGCCTGTGCTTTTCATACTCCCTGCTTCCCTCTCTGCTTGAAACTTTTCCCCATGGTGTTTATCACCATCAATCTTACTATTTAATTTACTCGTTTATTTTATTTTCTCTTTTCTGTTATTGGAAGATAAGTTCCAAGAGGGCAGAAAATTTTGTCCACTATTCACTGTCCTATCCCCAGTATCTAAAAAAATTCCTGGAACATAAGAAATATTTAATACACATTTGGGAATGAGTTTGCTTTCTCTCTTCACACATATCTTATGAAGGTAATACTTCATTGTGAACATTTTAAAAATCTGAAATTTTTTCTCACTTTAACTTTTTTTAATGTTTATTTATTTTGAGAGACAGAGAGAGAGATAATAAGTGGGGGAGGGACAGAGAGAGAGGCTCTCACAAACTGTGAGATCATGACCTGAGCCAAAGTTGGATGCTTAACCAACTGAGCCACCCAGGTACCCCTATTTTTTTCTCACTTTAAAAACAACTATCCTACCTGCACACAGAAAGGCTTCAAAAGTATCTGTAGTTTGAATTTCTCAAATAGGAGCTCCTGTTGTGTTCCTGTTCTTAGGTAAGAACTGAGGGAAGCCCTGTAATTTTTTGGTAAGAAATGCCTAGAAAACATTTCTCAAAT